TGGAGTGGAGGTGGGGGTTAACACAATAGTAGATTTAAACGATGGATGGTGCAATAGGTTAGTTACTGTTAAAAAAAAAAAAAAGTCAGTGCGTCCTTTGAGTGTATCGCGTGTGTAATATGTAAATATGAGTGTAATTTTCCAGTCCTGATAGAGGTGGGATGATAATGGCCAGAATGTTAAATAGGATTCGATAGAAAATTTTGAGGTTTGATGATTTAAGAAGGGACCAAATAAGACTGAACAGATATAAGAGGACAACGAGCACCGTAGTGTAAGCCCTGAACCCTATCTACATGGATGCCGTCATGCCAAACTGCAGTTGGTTGGCACATGGGTAGTGTTGATGCGAGTTAGTGGCGTGTGAAGGTTACATTACAAGGCACTGCAAAGGGAGAAACAAATTCAGAGGTATAGACTTCGTAGCAGGTTTGGAGTGAAGGAATTGTAGCCCTTGGGATAAACGTACGTGTTCCCAATTGATTTGGCAACTTAAACAGAATTTGCAACTCAGTTGACACCAGCTGTAAGAACGGGGGCAGATCAAGAGAGCACTTGCCAACCAACATCTGTATTTTTTTTTCTTGACTGCATATGGAGCAACAGTATTAATGGCAGTAAACACGCATGTTTTTCAATAAGCATATCTCGCCACCCGTACAGCCCGACGGTCATGTGCTCCAGCCTGTAAAACGCTATGAACTCGTCCAAAGCTGCGGTATCAGTAGCGGTCCAAAGCAATGTGTTTCAAATGCAAAACGCGAGCACAGTTGAGATGTCACCAGAGTTAACACTTTTGATAATGATTGCCTGAGGTTTGGGGAAACTGCAATCGACGCTGCAGAGAGAATAGAAAAGGTAAAGAGTTGCAGTAACTCGTCTGCAATGGAAGACTCAGGAGGGACATCAGAAAAAGAGATATATGCATAAGGTGGCCAGTCTCCTCTGAAACTGCCAATTGGAGCAACAAGGAGGACGGGTATAAGAATAAGAAATAATGAGAAGATGGAAATGATGGCTGTCACGAATATCATTTACTACTAACCAAAGTCCAGCTAAATAAAGAAAAGTTTATAGAGTGCGTGAATCCAAATGTGGAGGAGTATCTGGGAATAAAACAGAGAAGATATGGAGGAAAGCCTTTAATTGATCCTAATAAGTCTCAGTGAGACCTTCATCAGAGTAAATGAACATTAAAATCACCAAATAAGAGAAGCGGTGTAGGTGAAGACTTTCCCTGGGAGCGAAGGGGAAAGATACAAATAGCGAACCATGTACTGCTTGTCTAAATAGACAAGCAAAATGAAAGTTGAGAATAAGGACTACCATTGCTCACAAGAAACGTACTCTCGTTATATGTCTCGTAGGGAAAAGGATCCACTGACGTTAATAAAACATAATCAGAGATAGAGAGTCGATTAGTGACAAGTAATACAGCTGCAACAGAAAGTATGTGGTCGCCATGATTGGTGGCACCAGTAAAGTAGTGATAAGGGATATGCGGGTAACTGAAGATGGAAGATGTAGTACAGTAGTGGGTATAGCGGGTTGCCGAAGATTTTGTATCTTCAGTGAAAGTTTGCATGGCCTCGATGGTTTATGTAGTCAAGGTAGTGGCAAATAGCGTGACGCAGGAGGTGGAAAAATGTAGGTTGAGCATAAAGGGGAAGAGACGTTGGGAGCTTCCAAAATGGGAAGAGCCTGAGAGGGCAGCTGTATTTCGGGTTGAAGGAATCTGGGTGGGGTACAGGGTCGGTAGTGGCGGAATGTCACCGATGCAGGTGACGTCAAGGAGCAAGGCACACAAGAGATTGGTAAGGAGCTTTGAGCCTTTGAGGTTTTTGGAGGAGGAGCTGAAGTCCCAGCTGGGAAAGGCTGTCGTTGGGAAGGTAAGAGATGAGGTCTTCATAAGGGTTTGTCTTACGGTTGACTGGAGACAACACAAAAGAGTCCTAGAGACTACGAGTGGCTCTGAAGTAGGAGAAGCGTAAGTCTTCCGTGGAGAGAGAATCGAGTCGCCGCCGTAATTGTATAAGAGGCCCTTCTTCGTAACAAGATTTCACTTTTGTAAGAAAATAGGGCACTGGTGGGAATATGGATCTCGACAATTAAGGCAAGTGAGAGGTTGGCTGCGAGATGGAGTATGATCAGTCGAACCACGGTCCAGGAATTCTGCAGATGATCTGCAATACTTGGCCGGGTGGCCAAACTCCCAGCATTGTTTGCATTGTTGAGGTGATGGGCGCAGTTCCGTACCTGAAAACGCCTTTTCGCTACATAAAACGAGGATGGAAGGTCATGTCAATCGAAGGTAGATTTGCAACGCTGCTTCAGTAATATCTTACCAGGGCAGAAGTTTCCACATTAGTATTAGGGAGATTCTGCAGTTGCTTTTGAAAATCCAGGACATATTGCGTAAATTCTTCCCTTAGTATAGTGTGAGGGATAATGATAAATCAGCTCAAACCGAGGTGTGTGTTTATTATTATTACGGGTGTTGTTGATAGTGGGGAAGGGAAAGATTGTCAGTCTGTTCCACATCCTTTCCAGTGACAATACGTATCCCACTCTCGAGGACATGGAGAGTTTTGCTAATGCAGTGGTCAGTCAGGCAAATCATAGTTGTTCGACAGAGAAGAATTCCGTCCACGACTGTCTTTGAAATATGTCTTTGAAGGAAGAGGTTTCCAAGTAGTGTTTCTTAGGACAAGAACAAGGTGGGACAGTTCTAGTATCAGGAGTGTGTATTTTGTGTCGAGATAGCTTGGACGATGGCCTTGAGCCATTCTGTTTTGTAATGTGTGAACGACACTAATATCAACGCTGGCTCATGGAAGCCGGGAATATGGGCAAAGTAAGGCGAAAGTTAGATGTGTGGTCGGGGTGGACTCTGGTACAAGGATCAGGCAACAAAAGAGAATCCGAAATCGATACCAGGTTTTGAGGAGAGACTGGAGGTGCGCAGTGATAGGAATTACCATATTCCCACTCATAGCTGAGGCCAACAAGGGAAGACTGAACACTTCACTAAAACGACCCTATCACTAATGAAGATGTATACGCGAGTTCCAAGAATGAGCTAAATGCCAGACACAGGGCGAAAGTGGGGCCCAGTCACTGATGTTCGCTTGGCCCTAGCCGAATACCTCGCCCGACCAGACAGGAAAGGGTGATTCTAGACCAACCGATTCACTGACCCTCCCATCTGACCTCTATCCTCTCATCAAAGAAGAGTGTCACTGACTCTTGATCACAGCTCCACCGACCTGCTCAACTTCCAGGCAACATGAAACTGGGAATTTAGTGGCCATCGTACGCGACAAATGAAGAGGTCAGTGTTCAGTTTATGCAATGTCTATCCTGAGGAAGTCGAAACCCACCCAGTATGGTTACGACAATCAACAATGTAGTTCTCCCACCGAGTATGAACGACCTGCCATCAGAGGGGTACATTTCACTAAAGAATACAGTCGAACCATCCATTGAATGAAACACTATTCACTCTCAAAATGACCTAGAGAATCTACATGGAGATTCCATAGTCAACCCGAGCCACCAGCTCGACTGACAGACTTTACTTATCCAATTGTTATTCCTAGCCTAATAAGAAGCCGACCTGGGCCTACGTTCATCTCTTGGCCAGTCACTCTCTCCTACACTGCCTATGTCAGCCACAAGAAGAAGCCGCTGGATCTTTCGTTTCAGAACTCACACTGCCTGACCTTGCCTGGCCTTCTGCACCTATTTCTGACTACCAGATAGCGTCATTATGGCGGCTACCCCTCAGACAAACATCTTTTTGTAATGTCTTTGAAGAGAAGCATTGAAACAAAGTAATGAAATATATCATTAATAGCCTAAGTGACATAAGGTGTGACTATTATGCAGAAAATTAAGTGTAAATATTAGAGGACGATATGGAGTTACTAAAATGTATAAATAAGAGAGCTGAGGAGGAGCTGCTGAGGTGATATGTTCACTTAGAGAGGACGAAGCATAAGAGGATGACAAAGAAGATACATAATAAACCATACCACGGGTGGGGTTTGATCCCGCGGTCAGTGAGTCTCAAAACTCCAGACCATCGCGTTAGACACTGGACCAGCTAGCCACAATAAGATTTGTCCAGTGGCTAACGCGACGGTCTGGAGTTTTGACTCTCTGACCGCGGGATCAAACCCCACCCGTGGTATGGTTTGTTTGCAATTGTGTCATTACGATTTCGTGAGTCAAGGTACATAATTCTAAGGTGGAAGGAAGGAGAGGAAGGTTCATAACAGGATGGGGTAGAGGGAGGCGGTAAAAGTTGTATGAACGTGTTAGATCGGAGTGAAGACAAGTGTTTCTATGACTTAACGTGCTGTTGGAGTGTGAGAGAGGTAACATTTATATATTCGGGAAAACTGGCTATCCGAAACTGAGTCCTGAAAATGGGAAAAACACTGCCTGCACTCTAACAAAGCTGCGAGGATGTTGCAGTTAAGAGGTCAGAGGATCGTCTGAACTGTGATGTCAGGACACTTTCGATATGACAGTGATTTAGGGAGGGATGACGGTAGACTGACGGTGTTAACACAAAAGTGTTAGATATCAGTGCTTGGGAATGATAGATAATCAAGGGAGCTGGGAAGAAAAGCATTGACAATACTGTGAGTGAAACAAAACATAACTAACTTAGACGTGAAAACTCTGAGGATGTATTTTTCGCTTATATATTGACTTGTTATAATTTTATTTAAAAAAATTAACCACTTCATTCATATATACTGTAAGGCACTTCATTTTTTATTCACGAAGACATTAAACAAATATAGTTCATTCAGTGCTATACATTCTTCAAAATATACCTTAGACATTAAATTAAATCAACCATTTTCTGACACAATCTGAGTTTTGACTGGTCAGACAAAGGTTGACAGTCACACTATTCTTTATGGAAAGCTTGCAATCTCTACCTACTCTCTCTCACTATAAGTTCCCTGTTTCACTTCCCACTTCAGCCATGGTGACAGTAGCTATCAGCCTGGTAGGAGTGGTGATGGCGAAGTGTAGAGCTTTGTTGGTGGTGTGTATGATGTGCCTCTGCGGGTTGGGAATTCCTGCCACTACGGTCTCCTACCAGCTTTCTCCTATGGACATCGCTCCCAACTATGCCGGCAAGTTCTTAATGTAACACATCCTCAGTGTGTTGTAAGCTTCTCCGTCAGCCTCATTTTCTGTGTATTTTGAGTTTAGTGGTGTGAGCCATTATCTGAGTGTCATAAAGTTCACACTGAAAATCTTGCTATGAAAGTTATCAATGTCTCGGTGAACTTCTTGTTCAGAGTGTTGTTGTCTGGATGAGCCTCTTGTTCTGAGTGTTGTCAATGTCTCGGTGAGCCTCTTGTTCTCAGTGTTGGCAATGTCTGGGTGAGCCTCTTGTTCTGAGTGTTGTCAATGTCTCGGTGAGCCTCTTGTTCTGAGTGTTGTCAATGTCTGGGTGAGCCTCTTGTTCTGAGTGTTGTCAATGTCTCGGTGAGCCTCTTGTTCTCAGTGTTGTCAATGTCTGGATGAGCCTCTTGTTCTGAGTGTTGTCAATGTCTGGGTGAGCCTCTTGCTCTCAGTGTTGGCAATGTCTGGGTGAGCCTCATTGTTCTGAGTGTTGGCAATGTCTGGTGAGCCTCTGTGTTCTGAGTGTTGGCAATGTTCTGGAGTGAGCCTCTTGTTCTGAGTGTTGTCATGTCTGGGTGAGCCTCTTGCTCTCAGTGTTGGCAATGTCTGGGTGAGCCTCTTGTTCTGAGTGTTGGCAATGTCTGGGTGAGCCTCTTGTTCTGAGTGTTGTCAATGTCTGGGGTGAGCTCTTGCTCTCAGTGTTGGCAATGTCTGGGTGTAGCCTCTTGTTCTGAGAGTGTTGCATGTCTGGGTGAGCCTCTTGTTCTGAGTGTTGCCAATGTCTGGGTGAGCCTCTTGTTCTGAGTGTTGTCAATGTCTCGGTGAGCCTCTTGTTCTGAGTGTTGTCAATGTCTCGGTGAGCCTCTTGTTCTCAGTGTTGTCAATGTCTGGATGAGCCTCTTGTTCTGAGTGTTGTCAATGTCTGGGTGAGCCTCTTGCTCTCAGTGTTGGCAATGTCTGGGTGAGCCTCTTGTTCTGAGTGTTGGCAATGTCTCGGTGAGCCTCTTGTTCTGAGTGTTGGCAATGTCTCGGTGAGCCTCTTGTTCTGAGTGTTGTCAATGTCTCGGTGAGCCTCTTGTTCTCAGCGTTGTCAATGTCTGGATGAGCCTCTTGTTCTGAGTGTTGTCAATGTCTGGGTGAGCCTCTTGCTCTCAGTGTTGGCAATGTCTGGGTGAGCCTCTTGTTCTGAGTGTTGGCAATGTCTGGGTGAGCCTCTTGTTCTGAGTGTTGGCAATGTCTGGGTGAGCCTCTTGTTCTGAGTGTTGGCAATGTCTGGGTGAGCCTCTTGTTCTGAGTGTTGGCAATGTCTGGGTGAGCCTCTTGTTCTGAGTGTTGGCAATGTCTCGGTGAGCCTCTTGTTCTGAGTGTTGGCAATGTCTCGGTGAGCCTCTTGTTCTGAGTGTTGTCAATGTCTCGGTGAGCCTCTTGTTTTCTCAGTGTTGTCAATGTCTGGATGAGCCTCTTGTTTGAGTGTTGTCAATGTCTGGGTGAGCCTCTTGCTCTCAGTGTTGGCAATGTCTGGGTGAGCCTCTTGTTCTGAGTGTTGGCAATGTCTGGGTGAGCCTCTCGTTTCTGAGTGTTGTCAATGTCTGGGTGAGCCTCTTGCTCTCAGTGTTGGCAATGTCTGGGTGAGCCTCTTGTTCTGAGTGTTGGCAATGTCTGGGTGAGCCTCTTGTTCTGAGTGTTGTCAATGTCTGGGTGAGCCTCTTGCTCTCAGTGTTGGCAATGTCTGGGTGAGCCTCTTGTTCTGAGTGTTGTCAATGTCTGGGTGAGCCTCTTGTTCTGAGTGTTGTCAATGTCTCGGTGAGCCTCTTGTTCTGAGTGTTGTCAATGTCTCGGTGAGCCTCTTGTTCTGAGTGTTGTCAATGTCTCGGTGAGCCTCTTGTTCTCAGTGTTGTCAATGTCTGGGTGAGCCTCTTGTTCTGAGTGTTGCCAATGTCTGGGTGAGCCTCTTGTTCTGAGTGTTGGCAATGTCTGGGTGAGCCTCTTGTTCTGAGTGTTGGCAATGTCTGGGTGAGCCTCTTGTTCTGAGTGTTGGCAATGTCTGGGTGAGCCTCTTGTTCTGAGTGTTGGCAATGTCTGGGTGAGCCTCTTGTTCTGAGTGTTGGCAATGTCTGGGTGAGCCTCTTGTTCTGAGTGTTGGCAATGTCTGGGTGAGCCTCTTGTTCTGAGTGTTGTCAATGTCTCGGTGAGCCTCTTGTTCTCAGTGTTGGCAATGTCTGGGTGAGCCTCTTGTTCTGAGTGTTGTCAATGTCTCGGTGAGCCTTTTGTTCTGAGTGTTGTAAGAAGTCAAGTCTTGCTGTGTTACACAGGAGTCAGTAAATTTCGTTGCAGTCTTAGTACAAGCTGTGGGTTACAACATGGGATCGTGTCCGAGACTATTGTAACATGTTATGAATTATGATTAGATATACAAAAGGCAGGCATTTTTATTATTATTATGATTGCTGTTGTGAAGCTTTAAACCAATAGATGGAATACAGAGCCATCCAGTGAAATGGTATCTACAATTACTTGTTCCAGAGATTTTCTCCGGCATTCGTATGCCTCCTTGAAGGGAAGATACTTATTATGGACTCTATGTATATTATTTGCTAAAATGTGTATTATGTCTGGCATCGGACCTCTTGGATGTTGACTTCCGAAAGCGATTCTAGACAAAAAAAAAAAGTCCAGGTAATGTGTATTAGAGGCTATGACTCACGAAATCGTAATGACACGATTGCAAACAAACCATACCACGGGCGGGGTTAGAACCCACGATCAGAGAGTCATAAAACTCAAGACCGACGCGTTAGCCGCTGGGTCAGTTGGTTACAATAAGATTCATCCAACTAGGTATATTTTTACACTGGAGTTTTATGACTCTGATCACGGGTTCTAACCCCGCCTGTAGTATGGTTTATTAGAGGTTATGATGTGTATTTTGTACTGGGGCGTGTATCACGTGCTGGGGTATCCCACTCCATGTCATAGTAACTGGACACCACTCGAAAGTACGGGGGATAAAAGTGACATCTGGAATTAACAGATCAAATGTGGAGTAACCTAGCAGGAACTTAGGTTTAGAAAAACAATACTGCAATCTTAACTCAAAGTGGACTTCTGAGAGAGGAGTGACGGTCGATTCTCTCGTATCTAAGCCAGTGAAGAATGAAGGTAGAAAAGAAGATAAATTAAGCTGAAATAGACAGGAATCAATCTGAACATGCTTAGATCGGATCAACGGATGACGCTGACAGGAAAGGTAAGCAAAATAATGATAGGGAAATCTTGCTAGCACAAAACTATACTTCCAGTCATAATAAACTTTTTATATTTTCCTTTAAACTATGCACAAAATACATATATATGTAGCAATGAATAGCAAAATAATACAATGATAAGGTTATGAACAAAGAATCAGTACTGGTACAACCCAAGTCCACTGAGTATAGACATAATGGCGCTAATACTAACCAAACAGTCTACACCCTGCCTCTAAATACACAGTGCTACACAATAACAGATTTTCATTATTGTGATTAAAATAATACAGCTTACGCTGCTACCTAACCCCCCCCCCACACACAGAGTGAAAGTATGTCCTCTTTCACATGACTAAACACAGCACAAAAAAAACAATAATTGAAGAAACTAATCCTTAATACGTTCGTAATGTAATTTACGAACACTTATCAGCACTGGCAGTATATTAACACTGTACACACAAGACGTACATAAACACACCGGTACTTGACAATAGTTAAGCTATACCATACTTACACACTTCTACTAGAAATATTAATGTACATCTGCAACTGACGAACTCTATCAATAATATCTTTGAAGCAAAAGAGAGGGTCATATTACAACATTACAGCTTATGGACAGGTTAATAAGACTGTATTAAAAAAAGTGCACCATACCAAAGGCGCTGATACATGCGTGTACCTCGCCCAACACAACATACACACTACCACTAAATACACACTGATATACATTCACAAGGATTCTTAAGATACAAATGTGCTAATATTTAAACAGTTGTATACCGATTTTATAAAGATTATAGGTACTGACACGCTACCTAATATAAATTATCCATAGGGAGCAACAATTTACATTGATTGCATTAGAACATTATCGTACACATGTATATTTTAACATATACATTCTGCATGTTGGTAAATGGTTCAGAGAAACGACAGATTAATAACATAAGTAAACCCATGTATATATACACACATACTCATATATAACATTGCGGATAGCCAAGGATTAGAACCCATGTTGTTTTGGTCCGCCTCATGGTGAACGAAAACCACATGACGCTCTAACCCACAGGACCACCAAATCCTACATGAATCACGCATCCAGAAGAGCCCAGCTCTGCTGGGTGCTTGATTCTTGTAGAATTTGGTGGTCCTGTAGGTTAGAGCGTCACGTGGTTTACGCTCACCATGAGGCGGGCCTAAACAACAAGGATTAGAGTCCTTGGCTAGTCGCAGTGTTGTTACTGATCAACAATACCACTCGTACGTGAGTACAATAGTATTCTCATACATGTACAAATCCACACACCTACATAGGCAACACATGAAGGAATAATGCCTTTACAAGAACACAACATATTATGATACACCTCACACGCATCCTACGCTCATCCCCTCCTTCATGCATTCAGGTACGGAACCCCTACCGAGACACAACACCCTCACCCATATCCTGGTTGGAGCCGTGTACCCCACCAGGCTCAGGCTCTACCTCGGTCATAATGCCAACAATTCCCTTACACTAATACCCAAATATTCCCCTGGAAACTTTTACCCAGCGTTCTGCCATGCTGCGATTTATTCCTGCGCATTGTCCTTCGCCGCTATACTTCGCCTGACAACCAAATTTCCAACCATCTCACGAAATACCCACATTGTGTGAATATAGTCAAGAACACCATACGCTGCAGCTCTCACCACGATATCAGTTAACCCTTTCATGTCCCAGCTCAACACACTTAACACTGACA